GGTTTTGTGAGGCAGGGATTTATCGGACTTATCGATGAGAAATCTAACTTAACCCACGAAGCCCCCGTATATTTAAACAGGTGCACAACTAGAGTTAAATCGCGATTTGTAAATTTTTTTATAAATTATTCTTGTAGATCTATACTATCCTTCTTCTTTAGTTACAAAAAAACTGCGATATCTTTCACCTGAACTACGCTAAAATTCTTCAAGTTTCATTATTTTCGGGATATGTATTTTAATACCCACAAGTCGAATATCGGTTAATCGTTCCTTGTCCATGATCGGAAATCGTATTCCTCGATTTTGATATTCGGCTTAATATTGCAAGCTAGATACGATCTTCAGCCTTGAACACGTAAATTTATCTGATTGATGAATCAATTTTCTACAAGATTGGCTAATTCTAGAGATTCTTTTTTGCTGTATAGTTTATAAAATAAGGAAAGGAAAATACCAACAAAAAGAGAGCAATTCCCAACAATCGAACATTTCGATATAAAACGACATAATGACAGCCCTGGTTGCACAAAAATACTGACTAGTATTCTTCAGAAGAATGCATGCGAATCAGGGTGACCGTTTACGGTATTTTTAATACTTTTCAGTATTTTCTGAGGTCAAAATTGAACCGACCTATATTTAGTCAATTTCATTTTCAACGTTATATAGAAATCCAATAAAAGCAAGGATTTAAATTAAACCAATCAAGTAGAAAATAGATTCATTAATCGTATAAAATGATGTGGACATGGCTAAATGTTCTATATAGCTAATAATATTCCACGGAATATCAAAATCGAGGAATATAGAACTTGAATAAGTCAGTATATTTACGGTATATTTTGCAAATGAGTTAGTATATTTTGGTATTTTTCTGCGGGTCGGTCGGTTCCGCATAATTCCATAAAAAAATAATTGAAAAATATGGCATAAAACGCAGTTTTTAATTGTAAATATTCTGTTGTTTTAAGTGGTTTGATTGCCGACAAGCCACGGGCACAGCAAAGTGTTGGAATACAGATTTCGCCTGCAGCTGGAGATAAGAAAAAAGCTGGGGGAAAATGGCGGACCCTCTGAGCCTCTTGCGGCAGTACAACATAAACAAAAAGGAAATCATCGAACGGGAAAATCAAATCATATTCGGTGAATTCTCCTGGCCCAAGAGCGTGAAAACAAACTACCTCAAATATGGGTAAGTCTGCGTATATTTCCCTCCAAAAAGTGCAATATGCCAACGATGCAAATTTTTGCGTTTACTTATTTTGCAGTTCGGGAAAGAAGGGCGCTCCACGTGAATACTACACGTTGGAGTGCCTACTGTATTTGCTGAAAAATGTTATGCTCCAGCACTCGGTGTATGTGCGTCAGTGTGCTGCCGAGGATATACCCGCTGTGAATCGGCCGGATCGAAAGGAACTCTTGGCCTACCTCAATGGCGAGACGCCCACATGTGCCAGCATCGACAAGAGTGCTCCGTTGGAGATACCCACGCAGGTGAAACGAACGGCGGATGGCGAGGCCACCAGCGGGGAGACGGCCGCCAAGAAAGCGCGCTTCGAGGAGACGCAAGTGCAGAAGGTGCGCGAGCAGCTGGCCGCCCGATGGGATGTGAATCAAAAGGAGACGGCCGTCAATATGGACAACATCAAGTCACTGTCGGAGACTATGTCCGTGGAGAAGATTGCCGCCATTAAGGCCAAGCGTTTGGCCAACAAAAGGACGACCATTAAGCGGACGGACAACGATGAGGCGATGGGAACAGATCTGCGTGCCATTCTGGACTACGATGTAGACTCCACCAAGGATATCATTAGCAGGGAAAGGCAATGGCGCACGCGCACCTCCATTCTGCAGAGCACGGGAAAAGTGTTTGCCAAAAACATATTCGCCATGCTGCAGGGCATCAAGGCTCGCGAGGAGGGACGCAATCGTCCGCAGGTGCCGAATCCAATCAAGATGCCCGAACCGGCAAGGATATCCAAGCCACAGCCGCAGCTCTCCCAATACAATCGTTACGATCAGGAGCGTTTCAACAGGCAAAAGGAGGAGACCGAGGGCTTCAAAATCGACACACTGGGTACCTATCATGGCATGTCGCTCAAGTCCGTGACGGAGGGCTCTCTGGCGCAGCGCAAGGCCCAGGGCGGACCGGGCTTGCCCGGCGCAGGACCGGCAGCACCGGCGGGGGCAACCGTCAATCGGCCAAAGGAACTGCTGCCCACAGCGCAGGCGAGGCAGCTGCCCGCCAATGGGCCACAGAAGCGACCATCGCGCACACCCATCATCATTATACCTGCGGCCAACACAAGCCTTGTTACCATGCTCAATGTGAAGGATATACTGCAGGAGTTGCGCTACATATCCAACGCGGAGAAGAAATTGAAGGGCTGCCCGCGTGATAGCGAGGTTTTGCTGCAGGTGCGACGATTTCGCTTGCTCTTACATCAATATTTTGTATTAATCTTTGTACTTTTGGGCCTTAGCGAAAACGAAACAATCAGACCGTGTCGTATCGCGTGATTGATAATCCCATCAAGCTATCGCAACAGGACTGGCAGCGTGTGGTGGCTGTTTTTGTGATGGGTCCGCAATGGCAGTTCAAAGGCTGGCCCTGGGATGGCAATCCCGTGGAGATATTCTCAAAGAGTGAGCCCATAATATTCATATTTATATTTGCGAGAACTAAACCTCCTTTTTCCACTGCAGTTTGCGCCTTTCACTTGTGCTTTAGCGAGCTGAAACTGGATGCCAATGTAGAGCGTTGGTCGGTAACGCTGCTGCGTCTCTCCCAAAACAAAAGGCATCTGGATCGTGCGGTTCTAAGCAAATTCTGGGAAACACTTGACAAGTAAGGGTCCCCTTCTCTCTTGATTTATAAAAGTAAATGTATAATCATTGCATTTCTTTTGCAGATATATGGCCAAGTATAAGCCCGATCTGAGGTTCTAACCCCCAACATAACTATTCTGTTTAGTAATCTTTACTGCAATGACACGAGTACGTAGATTTAGACCGTTGAGCCCCTGCCCCCGCCCCTGTACACTCTCGATATTCTTGAACATCGCCCTCAAATATTCTTCTGTCACTATTTTTGTAATAAACAATTGCACATTTTACATACATACATACATATATCGCCAGAGTCGCCAGAATATGGAATGCACTATAGCTTCCTTTTGTTCCGCTTCCTTTACAAATGAGGAGTGGAATTACTAAACGTTGATAGACCATACCCATACCCGCGCGGACCCTTAGCAGTTAAGTCACACGTTTTGTTGTTCGACTAGTAAGATGTAAGCAAAAAGCAGTAGAATTCCAGTAAATTGTATACATAAATTAGTTATAATAAAAAGTTATAAGAAAATTAACAATATTGCCAGTCAATGCCGATGGAAGTCTATTGAATCAAGGCTTAAAAGGATAAAGAGAAGTGATCATTTTCGAATGGTTGAAATATTTGTATAACCTCCGATTATATTTTGCGTTATAGAAATAATTGTGGCACCATTGACAGAGAGAGCTGTTTCAGTTAGTATTATTATTACTATTAAATGTTAGCGGTTTAAATAAGAAAATACTATTTCAGAAACTAAATTCTATTGAAAGGATATTCCCGGTCCTTTTGGGAAAGAGCATCACACCAGGGCGCTCTTCCGGGATGCATTCTGGGCCGCCTTCTTGGCCGCCTTGAGGGTGTTGTACATCAGCATGGTGACGGTCATGGGTCCAACGCCACCAGGCACTGGGGAAATGTGTCCAGCCACTTGGCGAACCTCTGCGCAGGAAATGAAAGGGAAGACATTGGATAGATGGAAACATGGAGGATGGTCTGGCCGTACTCACCCTCAAAGTCCACATCGCCCACCAGCTTGTCGTTGCCGGTCTTCTCGTCCTTGATGCGATTGATGCCCACATCGATGACACAGGCGCCCGGCTTCACCATGTCCTTGGTGATGAGGCCCGGCTTGCCAACAGCCACCACAATGATGTCCGCCTGGCGACAGTGAATGGCCAGCTCCTTGGGCGGCGTATACCTGTGACAGATGGTCACCGTGGCATCCAGCGCCTTGGTGGCATTCTTGCCATCCGAATGCATGAGAATGGCCAGAGGCAGGCTGACATTCTTGGAGCGCCCCACCACAACGGCGTTACGGCCGAACGTCTCGATGTTGCAGTGCTCGAGGAGCGTCTTTACGGCCAGCGGTGTGGCCGGCACAAAGCCCTCCATGTCCAGGGCCAGGCGGCCCATATTGATCTCATTGAAGCCATCCACATCCTTCTCGGGCGCCACAGCATTGCAGATGGTGCGCTCGTTAATTTGCTCGGGCACCGGCAGCTGGACAAGCACTCCCGACACACTATCATCCCTGTTCAGTTCTCCGATCAACTGCAGCAGTTCTTCCTCCGTGGTAGTAGCGGGCAACCGCTTCGTTTCGCTGGATATGCCCACCTCCTTGCAGGCCGTCATCTTATTCCTAACATAGATCTCGCTAGCTGGGTCCTCGCCCACTATCACAGCCGTCAAATGGGGCTGGGGATTGCCAGCGTTCACAAATTGTGCCACTTCCTCGTTCAGCTTCAGGCGAATTTCTTGGGAGATCACCTTGCCGTCAATGATTTGAGCCATGTTGCTGCAAGAAGCGGAAAGAACAGCGAGACGGTTAGGGGGTTCATGCCGTAGGAATGTCGCTAGAGATAAGGTGCTGCTGGCTCTCTGCTGCTGAAGGGGAATACCCAGAGCATTGCATTACTGTAGGTAATTCCCCCCACCGGTGATTCACCCTTGTTTATTAGGCTGGAACAAACTTATTGGATGCAACTTATTTCAAGGGAACTCCCCTTTCTCGGGCTATGATAATCTTATATTTATAATTAAACTATGTGAAAATGATATCATCATCAATCTACAATCGGAATTAAGCCTCTCAAAAAATACGTGACATCCACGGTATGCATTGTTTGTGTTTTCCTCGTATTTTCGAATTTTTATTTTCTGATACAAATATAGTGTATTTATTTTTCTTATAGTCACGGGCGTATATGTTTCATTACGATTAGGCATAAAAACTTAACTAGTAATATATTGATTTCTCTGATTGATTCTTTCTCTGTAGCGCAGTAAATTCTAATCGGAAGTAAGCAGGGCCGATGCCTCCGAGTCGACCATCTCCAGGGCCAAGACAAAGGTGCTATACTCCACACACTTGGCATTATTGAGAATATAGTCGAGCATTGCCGCTGCGTCCTGCCAAAAGAAACTGAATCGCTCCATATGCGAAATACGTGCCAAATGCTTCCACTTGGGTTGATGGGCGTCGGGTCCGCTGCCCATCGGGTTGTTTAACAGTGTCTTCAGCTTATCGAATCGCTTCTTGTTGCTCAACAGCAGCTGAAGATTGTATCTGGGATCGATGCTTGTTTCCACCTCCGTCTCGATGACAATTTCATTGCCCCCCCATTCCATTTCGCGGCTGTGCTCTTCCAATTCCGTTTTGGGGTCCAGCATCTCGCTTTTGATCTCTAGGGCTGCCTCGCTGCTCTCATCGGAGGAGGTGTCTTGCTCCTCTTTGATATTGTTGGGTACCCAGGTCATGGCCGAATCATTCTTCTCCGAATACACCTTGTCCAGCAGCTGAAGCACCTTTCCGTCGCCCTTGGAACGCGCCAGATCCATCGGCGTAAAACCGGCCGCATTGCGCGACATTAGTATGTCCGAAAGGGTCGTGTCCTGCGAATCCACAATGAGCACAATCAGTGCATGGCTCTGCTCAAGCACCGCCATGTGGAGGGCATTGTTGCCGTCTTTTGTGTTCGACACACTAATGGAGGTGCGATCGTGATTGATCAGCTTCTTGGCCACATCGTAATTATTCTGCCGGATGGCCATATGCAGCGGCGTCAATCCATCGTCATTTTTGAGCGTCAGGTCGAGCCTTACGCTGGTCTTGCCACCCTTCAGGAAGCTCTCAATGCAGGACATACGCTCCTCCTTGACGGCCAAATGTAGGGGCGTATTCCCTGCATGATTCTGCTGATTGGGACTACATCCAAGGCTCAGCAGTGGCCGTATATAGTATTCGCGATCGTGCTGGCAGGCCACATGCAGAGCACTATCCCCATCCGCATTGAGGGCATTGTTCGCCAGATCATGCAGCTTGAAGTACTTCATCACCTCAATGGTTCGGATGGCCTGCTTTAGCTGTCCGTCTGTCCGCTGGCTGATGATCACCTCGTGCAGCAGCGTGTCGTTGTTGTCGTTCCGCAGGGCGTGTTCGGTGAACATTTCCTCCACCTGCTTCCGCGAGCTGTCATTTGGTGACCGCAGATGCGCCTCGTAGATCTTGAAGATTGCACTCAAAAAGTGTGGCGTCCAATTCCGGTTGGGTGCTGCCGTTGGGACAGCCGGTCGCTCCGCTGCCCGGCCAGGGCCATCTGCCTCGAGGGCGCCCATGCAAATCGGCATGAGTTCTACGGACTGCGTTTCGATCAGCTGGCGGAAGTCTTCCGAGGTGATCAGGTCATTCAGGACCGTTTCCCGTCCAAACTCCTGGCTGATGGTCTGATCTTGGTACGTGAAGTGCGTTCCCCCCATGGGCACTTCGTGTCCCTGAGGCACTCCCAGGGGCTGGTCCAGAGCCAGTGTCCTGGGCAGGTCCCCAGAGTTCTGTGCACTGCCGCCGGAGTTGCTGTTGGTCGCAATCGAACAGGTGCGCCGGCGTTTTCGCGAGACGATAGCATCACGTGGCTTGTAGCGGAACGGCAGTGATGGGTAGGAGCGCTCATCGTCCGAGGGTCGTATCAGCTCAATGGAGACATTCACTTCCCTGTCGACGTCCTTGTCCTTGTAGGCGGGCGTCTGGCAAACGATGGCATACTGATGATGAACATCCGATTCACGGAACTTGGCATACGCCTCCCACACAGGCTCCCCGTCTTCGTCCTCCTCGAAGAAGCGCACCTTGATGTTCTTCTTGCTGACCTTCTCCACGAGGAGGATGAGCTCATCGTTGCCCATCACAGAGCCGGTCGGCTTGCTCAACCGCACGATGCGCAGCTCTCCCGTTTGGGCAGACTTGCGATTGTTGATAGCATTACTGAAAACGGGGTGGGCAATGGGCACCCAATTGCCATTGTCCTCGATTTTGTAGGCCTCAAAGCAGAGGCGCACCTGGAAACGCACCAAAGTACCACAAAGTGAGTATCGAACGAAAGCGAGTTCCTTTTGGGGCTGTACCATACCTGATTCAGATTCATAACCTTGGCCTCGTCTTCTGTCTCCTTTTCCAGCTTCTGTACCTCCTTGGTGGACAGCTCGCGACGCTTCATTTCGAACACCAGGCGATCCCGCTTCTTTTTGAAGAGCTCTTCGAAAATATACTTCTTGGCCGTGTGTATGATGCCCATGTTGATGAACTGAGCCACATAGCCGCGGTCCTTGGACACGTGCAGGTCGTGCGGATCGCACACATCCCGGTCCTCCTTACGCACCACCAACTGGTGTGAGTGCGGACTTTCGAGGTTCGTCTGGAAGAGACTGCACCGTATCACCGCCGGCCCGTCGTAGTTGCAGAGCGTCACCTCTGGAAACGTTTTCGGTGTGCGCTTCGAGTTGGCCCCGTTGAGCGAGCCATGTGTTCCGTGCATTTCGCTCTTGTATCGAAAGCGAAACTTTTCCACCGGTTGCTCCACGATGCGCAGGGCAGCGGGCATGTGCCCGAACTCCGTTTTGGCCACCAGGCCGCCGACGCCCCCATTGGTTCGATTATAGCCAAAGTTTTGTGTTGTGTCGGGGGGGGCCTGGGCGTAGTATGGATGGTCCACATACATGTTTCCAAAACTCGTGGCAGTCGTCAAATTGCGGGCGTCAACAACAAGGTTGCCATTCAACATCTGGTATGGTAAACTCTGCAGTGGCGGTTGAGGTGAGTTCGCCTGTGGTAGATTTAGATTTGCGAAATCATTTTGCAGCGCCACCGTTTCGGGGGAATGTGATGGCGACATTACGGATGATGGCGAGTTTCCACTGCTATATCCACTCGTGCAGGAGGCTTCGTTCATGTACTGAACATTCTTTCCCTTGTCCAAATCGAAGATATTGCTCATTTTAGTTAATCACATATACACTGGCTGTATGTATCTATTTGTTTTAGAAATTGCGTCTTGCGTAAAAAGATCGAGATCGACCGTAGCGCTCGAGTATCAAAACGAAAATGAATCCGTGACGGTTGGCTTTTCGAAGCGATGTCGAATGCTCCTCCTTTCGGTTTAGGTACTTCCCCGACGTTGATTGGGCGCTCGGACGGGGAAATTATCTTCCAAAGAGAGAGAGAGAGACAGAGAGATAGGGGGGCGCAACACCACAGTATAGGCCGCCACGTCAGGTGACTCATGGGTTTTTCAGCAGCACATCCAGCACCGTGTGGTTTTGTTTTTGTCAGTTGAGGTTTTAATGCGAATAAATTGTTTACATATAGAAATCACACTATCAACGTATTGAAATTCGCTCGCAAGCGCGCAGACTCGCACATACTATGCATATATCTATATATATATATATATGTATGTATATTCTAGGTAAATATATACGGGATTTGAAACGCGAACGTGCGGAGATCGGAGAAGTACGAGTCGCAGCAACTGCACAACACAAAATGAGCGAGCTGAGCCGTAAAAACAAGTAATCTCGCTCTCCGCCCGACCCATTCGGCTGATAACAGGTTTCAGTTGCGGGCGCAGAGCTTTTTGGGGGCGTAGCGCAGCTTTGTACTTGTTAAAGGAAGAGGGCATAGGAATATCAGGGAGTATAATGTATTTAGACAAAATACAAGCAGAGCTTAATTTGAATATCTTATTCAACACACTGCTCACTCACCAGAGTTGCACTCTAGTCTGGATACACACCCGGTGGCAACTCTGCACAAGCGCACAGCTGTTCGTCTAGATATGTAATTTTCTTTTTATATCACGTTTTCTGGAATTTACTAAATTGTACCCACCTGTTCACCAATACTTTTGTTACATATCTGCGCCCGGGCACAGCCCAAGAGCTGACAAAGCATTTAAACATGCTTCACGTAGGATTTAACATTTAAATAAGATAAGTAGAACGGTATCGAACTTGACCCACAGGTGATAAACTTATAAATGATTTTCACACGCGACGGAAAAAAGCGAAATGGTTGCCGGGACTTATATGTACATATGTATATATAATATGGTTTTTACTATAGCTCCTTTGTTTAGAGGAAAATTTGTATGACTAAGGTAACGGCACGGCACCCTTGATCCTGAACAAGAATTATACGACATATGGTGTGCGTGGGTGTGTGTGTGTGTGTGTGTCGTGTCTGTTTCCATGTGTGAATCACGTTATCAGTGATTGTTTATTTGTATACAAAATTAGCTAATTTCAGGTCCAGCTGCATGTCTGGGAGGGTATCAGCATGCCAGGTTTAAAAGTACCCATTCCCAGACGTAAAAAAATATATTTTTTGCACATCAGCAAGTTGTTAATTAATTTTGATTTGTTTTTCACTTGCACTGTACCTTTTGAGATTCTGGAAAATTTCCCTGGGGAAAAGAGTAAGACTGAACTATTGGATTGCACCAGACGGAATGATTTGTTTCACCGAATATTCTTCGATATGCCCCCACACGTGTTGCTAGGCATGCACAATACATTTTGGATACAAGCTTTCGCTCAAGCGCTCCAGAAAGAGACGGAGACGTCGCGACTTGAAGTTTGGCACGATCAGCTATTTCACTCAACCCGAAACACTCAAACACGTTCTGTAAAAAGTTAATGCACCCGTAAAGGGAACGTTGGAAAATTTCGTTCTATAACTTTAAACACGAGCTATTTTCCGGCCAGTTGTTTTTCTCCTGCGGATGACGAAATTCGGAAGCACGATTACCGCGCAACAGTGCAGTCGGCTGCCTCTTTGTGACGTCTATTCGATCCCTAGGGGGTCGGGCTCGGCTGTCTTGGACTGATAAGCCTTTGATGCCAATCCCTCAGAGTCACGCTATACCTATTGGGGGAGCGAGGGGCGCCTGGTAACTGATGATCTTTGTTTAGCTAAAGGCAAACAGCAGCCATGCTCTCCGGCAGGCGTCATTAATAATGTTGTTCCCATGTAAAGATTGCATTCGATTTTGGGTTGAAAAACATGTTATTTTCGAACAGAAAACCCAGATAAGCAAAGGAAAGTGCAAGTGAATGGAATGCACGTAAATTAATGTCATGTGCAGAGCTAAATATGTAAATTTACGCAAAAAACCATTTTAAACTTACCTTGTGAAGCGCATTTTGAAGAAATTTTAGTATGTATTTTTTGGATTTGATTTACAAAGGGAAAATTGACTTATTGGTTTATGTTGTTCGGTTTAAACTTGTTAATTAACTTTGAGCTGCTACAGAAATTCCCTTGTTTCACTTGCACTTGGAGCTTTTGAGTTTAAGTATTTGAAAACTGCGGGCTGCAGCGGTTTTTATATGCTTTTTTAGTACGTTTTTTGCGATACCGAGGTATCGAAAAGAATCGTGGGCAAAAAGGTGTGAAAGTGAACTAAGTAGAAAAATACCAAAAGAGTATTATTTTTAGTACAATTTCATCGGTATATTTAGAACATTAGACGGTATATTTCAGTAGGGTCAGGCGGTGTGTTTTATCAATTTTATCAATCTATTAAACTTCATTTTCAAAGATATATTAGAGAACAAATGGTAGAAACTTCTATACGCAGGTTATTTGGATTTTCGCCGTCAAATCGTACATTCCAACAAATTGGATTTTAATGCTTTACCTCATTCACTTTCAAAAAATTTCTATTTGGCGCGCACAACTCGTATCCAGTCGATAGTGTTGATAACCGAACTTATATCGGGTAAGGAAATCCTTTAACCGGTATATTCCAAACTCACTTACGTTGGAACTGTTTTTTGTAGACCTTTTTTGATTACACCTTGTTTTAGACACAATAAAATTCGAAATAGTTTTTAAAAGTAGATAATATTGTGAAACATTCATTCATCAATGCCCTAAAATTATGTGGGCAAAGCTAAACGTTTTTTTAAATCAGTTTTAGTTCAATCTAGCTACTAATGTTTGACGAAATATCAAAATTGAGCAATTTGGTTTTCAATCCTTAACGGAGAACGATTAACCTATTATGAGCCAACTATTATGAAATAATGAAAATTTAATAATGTTAGCGCAGTTCAGGTGAAAGAAATCGTAGTTTTTTTTTAAGTTCAGAGGAAATATGGCATGGATCTACAAGAAAAATTTACAATCATTAATATTTTTCGCCATTTACCTCAAGTAGCTGAACTTTTTAAATAGAGGGGGCATAAGTGGACTAAGTTCGATTTTTCATCATACGAGACGCTATATTGTTTTTGAGGAACCAAAATTGAGGCAAAAACAATCAAAGTCAAGTATTTAAAATAAGCCAGTCAAGTAGAAAATAGATTCATTAATTGGATAAAATTAAGTGGGATTAATTAATAATTGGAAATTAAGTTCCCCGGAATATCAAAAACGAGAAATATGTATTATACGACTTAAATCCGTCAGTATATTTACGGTATATTTTTTGAATGAGACGGTATATTTTGATATATATTTCTGAGGGTCGGACGGTATGATTAAACGATAAATCCACGGTCCCACTGACACCAAGTCGCAAAATAAATAAAATTAACTAAAAGTTTCAAATTGTGTATGATTAGCAAGAACCACCGAGGACTTGTCCTGCCATGCAGTGAGACGTTCTGCGAGAAAAATGAACTCACAGTCAAAGAGGAAATCTTTTCCCTTCAATCCCCCGCAGCCGGGAGTCGCCATGCAGTTTGGCTTCAATGCGAATACAAATTTCAACATTGAGACTGAGTGCAGCAAGTGGCCACAGCACAAACGAAAGTCCGAGCAACAGGAGACCGTGCTGTGAGTATCCGTATCAACAACTTCAATCCCCGCCAGACACTAACGACAATCCGGTTTTTTAGCCCACCGAAAATGCTGATTACAGAGGAGCGGATCACACAGCACTTCAGTGGATTGCAGATTTCGGGCGACTCGAAGGGCGTCGTCGGCAATTGTGCGGGCAACAACAACAGCGCCTCGATCGTCACCGGCGGCCTGGCCACCGACGATATACCCTCCACCAGCACTGGCAAAACGCACCATCACCCGAATCCAGCCTATCAGATGGCGGCCATGGAACTGGAGCAGAAACTGCGAAATGCCAACCGAATTGTGATCTGTGATGAACTGAAGCCGGGCTCTGTACCGGGCCCTCTGGCGCCTGGTGTCATACCCCGTGAATGGCTCATCAAATCGGTTCCCCGTCCCTGCACAGCCCTCGTGCCATGGCAGCCATCTCCCCTCCAAATCCCGATGCCTGTGCCCAAATTGCCGTCACCGATGCATCTGCTGGCCCCTACACCGCCTCTCCCTGGAGAGGAACTCGACGACTATGACGATGATTTGGAGTTCTTTGAGAACAACAATACTTGCAATGTGAATTTAAACAAGTCTGACGAGCATATGGACGAGGATCTGTAGCCATAGCTGGAAGCCTAAATATAAACGAGTAGATCTGTATGTTTGCAAGTGCAGCAGGAGGGTTTAATCGCATGTAAAGAATTCTCATTGCTCCTCAACTCTTTATGTTTGTTTACACCCTTGCAGAGGGTACCGTACCACTATTTAAGGAACTACCGTTCTGCAAGGGTATCAAGCGCCTCGGATACCGATGATAATGATAGCCCTTTTTCATGTCACTCTTCAACTATTTTGTATTACTATTTAAAATAGATGTATGTGATTTTATCTAGCTGGAGATATCTGTGGCAGTGGATTTGTTTGTGCTTCTGTTCGAATAAAGTAAAGCCAAAATAAATTTTAGTACAGGGTCTTTAATTATCTGCGATAGATCTTCTGACAAAGAGCAGCATGAGCGTGTCCGCTCATTACTAATCCTTGTGGCGTCTGCTAGCTAGCGCACCTAAGCAGTGGAGGAAATGCGAAACAAATAGTTCATGGTGTAATCTGGAGGAGCACTAGGCCCATAATATTTATCTAACTTTCCAACTCTCAAAAAATAATGTTTTATGAGAGAACGAAAATAGTTTTTATCACCTCAACCTGATGGTACAAGTAATACGTTTATTGCCCTCGAATATAATTTCCATAGTTCGAAGACAAACAAAACGATTAACTTTTATAAACTGCATATGTTGTTTTATGGCCGTATTGTTTTCAAATTAGGCGCGAACTGGGGTTTCCAGACCATTCCAGGTATTTCTACCAAATTCAGGTACCCGCGCGATTCAAATCGGTTATTGGCTCTCTTCAAATCGGCTATGACCCTCTTTTCGTTCTCTTTGAATCGGGTAGCAACAATGAGACTCATTCCACTTTTACCGTTCTCAGCATCAAATTTTTATGAGCGTTTGTTGCGAGCAACATGGGCACGGATACCCTACGGAAAAGGATATTATAGAATTGAGGAAATGTTTGTCATCTCAGGCTCCAATATATGCAAAAACTAGTCAGTCAATATAACAATTTACCAAGAATGGTCTCAGGATCAGGATATACATAAATATATCTAGGAAACTAATCAAATGCATAAATAGGTCTAAAGCATATCAATCTGAGAAAAGGTCTTTATTAGGGTATACAAAAGAGCATATTTGGTTGACAAGCAACAAGTCAGCATGTACGAAATGTCGTGACATTCCATACTCACCTACATTGCCACTGTTTTTCGTTTTATACTCAATACAATAAAAAGCAGTACTTAAAGGCAGTTAATCTTGCAGAAAATTTATTCACTAATGGCATAAAATTATATGGGCAGAGCTAATGGTTTTAGTTAATCAGCATTATTCAACGGAATATCAAAATCGAGCAATGAGAACGTTAACTCACCTACGTTTTAATTGCTTGACCTTCTTCGCTAAAACTCTTTTTAGACAAAATTCAATAAAATGCATTAGTTATAAACCAGTTCATCTTGTAGAAAATTGATCTATCATTCGCATAAAACTATGTTTTCAGGTATGGAAGTCCTGGCTAGCTAGTAATATCAAATCGAATATCAAAATCGAGGAATATGATTACCTGCCAGGGACCGCAAGTGATTAACCCGTTGTCGACCAGAGGGTATTAAAACACACTCCAGGAAAATGTTTAAATTTTAAGAATTTACGTGTAGAAAGATATCCTGATAATTATTTTTTTTACGTAAATAGAAACTATGTGCGTACGAGAAGATCTCGCAAAAAGTATGTTTTCCGCGGTTTACCTCAAGTCGTTCAACTGTTAAAATATAGGGGGCTGGGTGGGTTAAGCCGCTCGCTATAAATACGAAGCACCCCTGAAAGAACCGCAATAGTCATGGTGGAAAATTTGAAGAGAGCGTACCGATGCGCCAAGAATCGAAGAAGATAAAGTTAAATATTGATTAAAATTTCTGCTACAAAAATATATATATGTAATTATATATTGTAAATGTCTTTAATTTAAGTGATATAAATCAAATATATATGTGTAACGTTTAATATTTTAATACGCGTCAAAGTACAACGAGTGAAGCTAACCGCACACACACAAAGAAAAACGGGGTACTTTGCGAGCAAAAATAAAAAACAACCACACAAAAAAATTGGAAAACTAAAGAACGCTGCGTAATAGACGGTGGTGTACATAAAAGAGTTTAACAAAAATCCGAATCAGTTGAAAGTGTGATTTTTTTGAGCCTTTGTCTGTAAGTGAAGAGAAAGCTTTAAGCGGAATTACATATAAATAAATACGAAGCCAGCCCGTCGCCATTTTGAAAGTGATTTTACAATACATACACAAAAACACATACACACACACACATTCAGCGAAAAAGCCCCTCATCAAAATCTGAGAAAATCAACAAAACCAAACCAACATTTCCGTAACATTTTAATGTGAACCAACAAACAAAATCAAGGCAACTTTTAATCCAAAAAAACGAAAATTCAAAACCGTTTTGTATAATTGAAATCTGTATAACAAAAGTGGCTAAGAAAATCCCCGCAGCCTGCAGAGCGAGAAAATCGATAGCTGCGACACACACGTATACATATACTATACAGTGGAAACCCGTAGTGGAGCAAGCGAGATAGCACTAGCAGCATCAGCACATTCGTGTGAAGAGGAGGTCTACAGCAGAAAAAGTAAGTCGCAATTGTATGGGTTATCGGTATGAGTGCGAGTGGGATTGAGAGTGTATGCATGAGCGCGCTCATTGAAGTCCTCAGACTTGTTTTGTGGGGCGGGGAAATATACAATAGCTAAGCAAATACGTACGTATGTAGCTTTTGTTGACGTAAATGGCACACACACACACATACTCACATATGTTTATACAGATTACGATGTTGACAGTCCCTCCTACAGGTTGCCGTCTATATTGGAAGTCTTTCCAATGGGGAACTTTACTCTCTCCCCGTTATTCCTTCTTTTCTATACATATATTTTTTTTCTTTTGCTCAAAGTCTCGTTCGCTTTTATTTCATTTTTCCCAAAAACAGGACCAGTCCCGAACCAGCAGCAGCAGCATCAGGAGAAAAAGCGGTGGAAATCAGTTTTTGGAAAAAGGAGTTTGCAAAATTATAGCTAAGGATTAGCTTAAACAGAATAACAGAGATAATTCAACAGACTGATAACAATACATAACGTTACAAAAGTTAAACTACATTAAAGTAAATAACAGAGAATTGTACATAAGAAAAACGAGACGCAAACCGGACGGAGAATAGCGCCTACGTGCCCAGCCGCCCGTTGCTCGCCCTAGATCTTGCAGATCGATTCGTCGATTTGGAGATCGAGAGAGAACAGTGGAGAGAGAGAGAGGGAGAAGCAGCAGTCAGAGAGTAATCAACAACAACCAAAGACCCAAAGAAGCAGCTGAAAATATCAACAATTACAACACGTGGCATTTGTTTAAGAGAGCAAGAGGCCCCCCTACTCCCCGAGTTTGGTTTCGATTTATAAAAAATATAAATTGATTTAAGTGCGTGTGATATTTAACGTTAAGCATTAATTTAGCGAAATAACCAAAAACAAAAAAGGCAAAACAGCAGAAATTTTAAAGAGGAAAGAGAAGAGAGAGAGAAATAAGTAGAAGAAAGAACGCGCTTGGTAGAGCTCTCAAGGAGAAAAGAGACGAAGAGAAGAGGAGAAGAGGAGAGAAGAAAGTTAAGATCAGATCAAGGAAGAGAAAACGACGGAATTACTATGACATACTCGCACAATAGCGTTAGGAACAACATCAGAATGACAACAGCATCGGCCACCAAGGCCATACGATTGAAAAAGGGCGCCGCAGGATCTGCTGCGTCCCCATCCGCATCCGCAACCCCATCACCGACATCCACCGCATCCGCACCCACAACACCCTTGGTAACTGCACATTCCAACAGTATTGCCAGCAGTACAAATATCAATAGCCACTTCCATCAGCAATCCCTGAGCGCTGCCGCATCCCCCACAACCTGTTCCGGCCTTGGCCTGTCCGCCCTGTCCACCAGCAGCAGCACCACCACAACGCCCAATAGCCGCCAGCAGCGGCAACAGCAGTCCCAGTCGGCGGGAGGCGCCCAGCGTAGCCGCCAGCAACAGCAGCCGCAGCAGCGACAGTCGCCACAGCAGACCGGCGGTGGAGGAGGCGGAGGAGCCTTCTTCTTTGCCAACAACAACGGTAGCGCCAGCAAGCGCAACGGCGGCAGGTCTCCACAGGGAATGGGAATGGTGGTGCGTCAGTCACCGGCGACAATTCTGGGCGGCGGATTCTCCCCCCCAATGGCCATCAACGGCGGATCGGCGCGCAAGCAGCGCAAGAGTCCACCCACCATTGGCGCCTTCGGTGCATCGCCCCAGCAGCAGCACCCCCTCATACCCACCGCATTGACGCATTTCGCTGGCAGCAAGTGCTTCGACGCACCAGCACCAACGGCGCTGCCAAAACCGCCGCAGCACTGGACGCTGTCCAAGTCCGAGGAGAAGCTGGCCAGCAGCGCTGGTCCGGCCCTGCAGAGCCTGATGCGAAGTGGCGGCGAGTATTTGTCGAGCCCCAGGTTCCATCTGGGAGGAAAGTCCTCGAAGCGCAATCTCCTCGACGACTTTGACACGCACAATCTGAAGCTGCTGCTCAATGTGCAGTCGTAACAGGTGGCAAAAGCAGGAGCAGGAGCAGAAGGAAGGATCAGGCGTTAAGGATCAACGAACGAACACATACGAGGCGATAAAACCGACGAAATGGATTGAAAATGGTGGACCCAGAACCCGTCAATGAGAAATAAAGAAAACATGTAAAACAAGAGAAAATACAAAAAAAAAAAAAACAAAAACAAAATTATAAAAAATGCAAAAAGAAAAAACCTTAAAAAAAACCTAAAAAAAGCGAAAACATTTCAATCGAAACTTTGAACTTTTTTAAACCAAAAAAATGAAAAAAATTGCAAAACAAAAAAATGAGTAATGTTTGTGATCTCAAAAAGTGTGTATCATTAAACAAAAGCAGTAAAAATTGAGAGAAGCTATACGAAAAAAAAACCAACAACAAAAAACCAGAGAATTTCAAGGGAAAACTGAAGATTAAAACCACACACAAAAATACTGTCCTCACACAACAAAAACAACTTCTACAACAACAACGACAAGAGAACAAAGAAACAAAACAAAACAAAACAAAACCAACAAAAAAGATGCAAAATTCCACGCTACAACAACCCCATAGACCTTCCCCAAAAACAGCTACAGCTACAGCAAAAAAAAAAAGGTGTCAACTTCAATATACAAAACTTTATAAAGGCCAATATTCAAATGCGAAAGGAAAACCCACAGACTAACAAACGAACGAACGTACG